ACTCGAATAATTTAAAGAAATTTTAAATCATTATTAATTAAAAAAATCATATCTTATCTAATTACATTATATTATATTATAAAATAAAAATTATTAGATTAAAAAAACCACCACGCCAAAAGATTCACCACGTCTTCTGAGTTCTGATTTCAGAGGTGCAGTCCAAATTCGGACTGCAAAAATTTTTTTTTTTAATATTCCGACGTGTTTTAAGTCCACGTGGTGCAGTATTGTTGTACCACAGGAAGCATTAATCAGGAATCCCGATGCTTACGGAGGATATAAACGTACAAGTGACGTGATATTAAGATAAGGAATTTACGGCATCGCCACTACTTGATTTATCAACAGCATTAATATTTGTAGGGATGGCACTTGCCATGGAGGTGGGGACTCCTCCCATCTCTATTCTTGTTAATGGTTGGTACGAAGATTTTTATGAGAATTTTTTTTTTTGAGGAAATTTTTATGAGAATTTTTAGTAAAGGATCAAAAATAGTTTTCATTTCTATATTTGTAGGGATTTATCATTTTTTATGAGTATTTGAAATTCTCACTAAATAAAATTATCACATACTTTGCTACTTGTTAATAAAAAATAACCTCTGTTCCTATAGCCACAAGGTAGGTTCTTATGAAAACATTTATTAATTGATATTTAAGAATAAGTTAAATTAGAAATTACTAGTTATTAAGTCAATAACTTGTGAATTAATTGATTAGAAACAAATTGTTTAATGAAAAAACTGCAAGTTCAAATTTATTGAAATACTCTAAATCATAAGCACTAAAGCACAAACAAGAAAAATAGGTCTGCTATGAGTGTGAGGTGAGGACTTGTTGACCTGGAATTGGAGAGCTTGAAGAGAATCATAGGTAGAGCTAAAGAGGAGGAATTTGTGAACTATGATTCAGAGGGCTTGTTGTCATATGAGGTAAGGAGGACGACCTGAGCCTTGGAGCTAGAGGTGAGCTGTGAACTATGTGTGGAGGCAACTCAGGCAAGTAGCCAACCATTATCGATTTCAATGGTAATAATGAGGGATGCCAAGAATGAGATGGGTTGCCAGTGGCTAGTTGAGACTTGAGAGATTAGAGAAAAGCTCTCAAGTTAAGTGTGAGTGAGAAATGGGAGAAGATCAATGTTGCAGTGGTTGCATAATGGGTTGTGATGGTGAGAGCTTGAAGGGAATCACAGGTAAGGATTAAGGAACAGAAACAGAGTTATTATACAGAGGAGATTGGAGAGGAGGAATCGCAAATCTGAAATCTTTGGATAGTCCTTCAAGGGTTATCAATGCAAATTGGGCTGAGCAATTAAATTTAGGAAGACTAGATTGATAAAAAGAATGGGTTGGATTTGATAATTGGGTTTGGAAAAATTGAAAAAAGAATGGGCTGTGAAATTTAGGTTATATTGGTATTGAGTTAATTAATTAGGTTGGGTAAGTAAAATTGTTAATATATTTACAAACCCGCAGCACTTGATGCAGTGGATAGGGTGTGTATATTCCAAGGCTATGACCTTGGTTCTAATTTTATTGAAATAATGATATAAAAATTATTTTTATTAAAAAAATTAAAATTAAAATATTTTGATATTAAAATTGTTAATATATTTACAAAAAAATATATAAATAAATTTATAAATTTTTTATTTTATATGAATTTCCGCGATTTCCCACGAGGGGGAGGAAATTTTTTACGAAATTTCATGGGAGAAAATAATACCTCCATCCTTACTCGACAAGAAGAAATATTTTTGGAATCTTTATTTCCGTGGTGGGTATATCTATAAAACTTCGCGAATTGTAGAGGAAATTGTTATCCCTAAATATCTTATTATATTTGTAATTTTTTAAAAAAACAATTATTGTATTTAAAAATAATAATTTATAAATTAATTTTAATTTAAAAATTAAAATATTTAAAAATAATTATTTAATAAATTTAAAAAAAATTCATGCTATACTTTATTTATTTAAGAATTGAGATTGATCATCTTAATATTTTTATTATCGAAATATTTTAATGTTTTATTTTCTCTTCTAATTTAATAAATAATAAATATCTTATACGTATAATTATTAATTATAATTAACAATTAAATCTAACAAAATAAAAAATTTTAAATATAATTTTCGTGCCTTGACAAAATAATTACTAACGTTACATAACCATACACCGCCACTTGGCCTGGAATACTTGAGCTGGTTGGATACGATTAGACAGGTCAGACGCCAAAAATTCATCGCTTTTAACAACCAACACGTGTATCGTTAGCGGCAAACGTGGATCACGTGGCCGGAAAATGGACAGGCAGTGTCGTTGGGAGTGCCGTAATAATACTGACCCGGAGAGCAATTCTACGACGACAAGTCTGTGACGACCACGCCACTAATTTATGGTTACTTTTTTTTTTAATTTTAATTTTTATAAATCTTATACCTTTAAACAACAAAAACTAGTTTATTTTTATTTATTTTTATAATATATTATCATAATTATTAATAAATAAAAAATAATTTTAATTCTATTCAATAAATTTATATGTTTTATTATTATTGTTAAAACTCTTCTTTAAATAAATGGTTAGTTTTTTATTTTGAATTTTAATTTATAATAAAAAATATTTATTAGTTGAACTAATAAAATATTAAGAGATAAAATATTACAAAATTATATTATTTTAATAAAAAATTATAAGAAACTTGAAATAACTTATTTTTAAACATAAATAAATTTATTAATTTATTTTGTTTTTTATAATATTTTAATACAACAATGGAATTTTAATGTAATGTCCTCTCTAACTTTTTTACATTGACTTAACAAACATTAATCTTTTACAATAATTATAAAATTTATAAAAAAAA